TGATTCTTGGCTTCATCCACTCTGCTATTGTTTCCCTGTAAATTGTTCTTTATTTCAGTTAGTGTATATCTCACTTCTGACTGGATCTGTTTTTTGCTGTTGAGGTCCTCATTAAGTTCTTGAGCATCCTTGTAACTAATGTTTTGAACTCTACATCTGATAGATTGTTTATTTCCCTTTTGTTTTGTTCTTTTTCTGGAGTTTTGATTTATTCTTTCATTTGGGCCATTTTTCTTTGCTCATTTTGTCAGCCTCCCTGTGTTTGTTTCTGTGTATTAGATAGAGCTTCCGTGACTCCATGTCTTGGTAGCGTGGCCTAATGTCGTAGGTGTCCTGTAGGGTCCACTGGCACAGCCTCCCCTATCACCTAAGCCAGTTACTTCAGGTACACCCTTTGTGTGGGCTGAGTATACCCTCCTCTTGTAGTTTAGTCTTGATTGCTTTTGGCAGGTCAATGGGAAGGATTTACCCAGGCCAGTCAGTTGCAAGGACTGGCTGTGATCTCTGACCACCATCCTCCTCCCTCTGTGGAGGATCAGCTGTGTAGGGGCAGGATGGTGGTGTTCTGATGTGGTCTGTAGCTGTCCTCTGGTCGTGTAGGCTCTGGGGTTTCCAGGGTGGTGCAGGTCAAGGTCAGCCCCCATCTGTGTTTTGCCTGGAACTCTCCAGTCTGAGCTATAAAGCAATCTGAGATGGCTACTACTTGTGCTGGGTTTGGAGATTCCCAGGTGAAGTGAAGCTGTGAGTCTAGGCTAGCCAATGCTACTGCTGGGCCTCGGATCACTTAGCAAGAGGTTCAGTAGTGGGGGCTTACTAAGCCCAGCTCTTCCTTGTTTGAGAGTTAGGAAGTTGTGAAAAATAAGCGAAAACCAGTCATTCATATGGAAAAGTAATCATTAACAGCTTGGGTGAGCCGGTAAGTTTTGTGGGGCAAAGTCTCAGGCATCTCTAGTGTGGGGCAAACTGTTAGCCAGGTTCATTGAGTCTCAGATATGGCACTTGCCTGCCAGCTCTGTGGCTTTGAGTGGGGAGGATTCAGAAAAGGGACTATGGCCTCTGCTGATCTTTCTGTCTGAGAGAAAGCTGTTTCCTTGCTCCCACCCTGATGCCAGACACTTCATTTCCTCCCTATGATGCCACTGGTGACTTTCAAGCTGCTACTGGTGCTCAAGCTGGAGCACAGATGGAGTGAGTCTGAGTGTGTCCTATGTGCTGGTTCTTTCAGGGGAACTTGCTTGGAACTCCAGAAGTGTTTTCACTGACTCAATTTCTGCTGGTGTTTGCAGCCAGAAGTTGTGGGTAATTTTCTTTCTGGCACTGTAACCCTGGGCTGTGGGGCCTGGTTTGGGGTTGGGACTCCTTACTCCTGAGATCTCCTTCCCAAATTTTTATCCACCACACGTGGATGTGGGATCAGCCCGTTTCTCATCTGTGCCCCTCCTACCGGTCTGGATGGATGTGTTTTCTTAAATTCCATAGTTGTCAAGACTTCCATTCAACTTGATTTTTGACTCGGTTCTGATGGTTGTTCTATAGTTTATTTCTAATTTTGATATGAATGTGCGAGGAGGTGAGTCATATCTACCTATCTCCATCTTGACTGGAAGTCTCAAGTCTTGACAACTATTATTCTCTTTGTTTTTTTGACCATGCAGGCAAGATAAAAATGGCTTCACATAACTCAAACAATTTGGTATTTGGTATAAAACTCCACTCTGCTGTTTAATACCAAAAAAGTTGTATGTTTGTTGAGTGCAATATTGGAGAAAGGAAAGTTGGTGCTCAAGCAATCTTGTGTGTTAAGTGCCTGTTAGATGAGATTGTATAAGACTTGTTAAAAGTTGCACATAATAGTTTGCATAGTACAGTAGGCTACCTGTCAAATGCTTCCACCAAAATATACCCACAGGAGAGGAGAGTGAAAACCCAACCACCTTACAGTACCCATGCGGATTTTGTATCTTGCTCCCCTAGTATGTTTGTTTTTATGTAAAAATAAACCAAGTGATTTATCATGACAAAAGTAGAAAGATGTGTCAGGTTTATCAGTGATACTTCTCCACCTGGCATTATAACCTAGTGGCCATGGGGCATGTAAGGTGTTGCAGTGGTATGCTAGCTGCTATTTTCACTCCTAGATGATTTAGGGATCAGTGTAGAACTGTGTCCTAATTGGAACTTCTTGATCTTCAAGACTGTGAAAGAGTGGACTATACCATTTGGTGACTAGCAAATTGGAAAGTATTATGGAATGTTATAGTAGTATCATTAAAATATGATAACTTTTAGAGAAGATATCTTCCAAATAAATTATTCAAAACTTATAAAAAGAACATCAAGTAATTAAATGTTGGAATAGAAAAAATGATTCGGAAAGGCATATTTTAAAGAACTTCTCTGGGGGGAGTTGGGCTGGAATGGGAGTAAAAGGCAGAAAACTATACTTGAACAACAATAAAAAAAAAGAGCGTAAAAAAAAAGAACTTCCAAAAATTTTAACACACACCATGTATTCTCTTTATTTCATGACTTTTACAAATATTCTGATAGTCTTAAGTTGAATTTTTAGTTAGATGTTGTCTTTTATATCAGCTTTTTTGTTATTCATACAGGTGACTCAAGTTATTTTTTATTTATCATGAAAGATAGTAACATTTCTTTAGCTCACATAGGTCTGAGTTTTAAAAATATTATATCTAATAATATTCTGGTTATATTGGTTTGTGTATATATTGAATAAAATACTTTTCATAGACTGTGGTGTGAGGGTGGGTATGAACTATGTACTCCTGCAGGTCTTTTGAGGTGAAGTTCATTTCGACATACATGCTTTGTATATAATTTGTGCTATTTATGAGGTATTTTCCAGGGTGATATAAAATATAATAGCCTGTTGTTAATATAAATTCTGAACCAATGAGAAGTTCTTAATATACTGCAAATTACCTTCCTTCAGTGGTTTTCCAATTTGAATTAACTTAGGACCAGTCACCACATTGTATAGGTCTTGATTACAAATCCATATCAAAAGAAAATTAAATAGAGTCCTCTTTCTTCATTGATTTTAATTTAAAATGTAATTCATTTAGTACTGCACAACATTACAGATTTGAAAAGTTTGATAGATCCATTTAAATTGTATTATTAAAATGTTTCCATGGGTTTTGTGCATGGGGATCTTCCTGCTGTTCCTTACTCTGTGATATGCCTCAGGACATTATATTGTGTCGATATGGCCATTACATTAGTGTGGTACTTTTTTTCCATTCACTGAAGTCTGCATTCTTTCAAAATGTTCTTTATTCACCATAACGCTTTATTTTCTTTTTATATATTATTGAATATTAGCCATGAAGAGAGGGCTGCATAGAATGAGATATGGGGCAAAATCATTCCTTTTATTTCCATTGGTTTTGTAGAAAATTATACTATTTCTCTTGTTTCTGTTGGCATGTAATTTTTTTTTGGATTTCTGTCTGTTTTTCTTTTTAAAAATCCAGGTGCAGATGCTTAAGCAGAATATACTGCTTTTTGCAGGTGGTTTCTTATACTCTAATGGTTTTTTCTGGCTGTTTGACTTGTTTTCTTCTGATAATCTGTGGCCTCACACACTCAGTGGTGGCATCAAGAATGACTTATTTACTTTAAAAATATTTCCTTAAAACCCCACTTTTCTAAGAGATAAAAATGGTACATGATTGCTTAATGAGTGCTGGTAATTTTTTTGTCCGAATGGTCACATTCTTAAGCTATTTGCATATAGTGAGCCACAGAGTTAGATAAGGTAACATTTACTTGGCAGTGGAGGAGTTACATAAAATCTGTGTTTCATTCTACTTTACTCATAAACACTGCACTCATTTACTCATGGTTTCCTGGTGAGTTCTGTTTTCCCTCTGAATTCTTTCTGTGCTTCTCCTGTATTTTCCATGTTTCTCTTCTCTTTCCCTTCTACCTTGCCCACTCCCATCACCATGGTAGTTTTCCCCTCTGAGTGTAGGAGGTAAAGAGCAGGGCATCAAGCATGCTTATTTTCTTTTGGCTTGCATAACTGAGTTAATGAGTCTGTTTCAGACAGAACTGCAGGGTTGAAGCCAGCAATGGAGAAAAACAACTATTTTGATTTGTAATATACTATAGAAAAGATTGTTGCAGTTTAGCTTTCTCACTTAAAGGCCTTCTCAAAATGCTACTCCCATACAGGTTGGTGAGGCAGGTTTCCAAGTGTTTGACTGACTCAGGAAATTAGTAGCAGTTAAATTGTTTAAAATTAATCAGAAAGAAACAAAAAAAGGTGGGAAACTGCTATCTGTCCACTGTCTGGTATTGAGGCAATGCTTCTTGAACAATCACTTCTAAGAGTCTTAAAATGAGAGATTCCTCTACTAAAACACATGTTTACCCATCCTAACCTCCCTTAGTATTTTGTCCACTAATTAGATATTAGGCAGATTAAATTCAGATTTGTTAGGAATTGAAAAATTTTCGAGTTTAGTTATTTTATATGTTATGGAAACAATTCTTTGTAGGTCTTTTTTTTATAAAAGTCAACCTTTGGTGATACAAAAATGTATCTGTTAATTTTTAAGAATTCTGACTCTTGGTTTGGCTGGTGTGGCTCAGTAGATTGAGCGCTGGCCTGTGAACCGAAAGGTCGCTCATTTGATTCCCAGTCAGGGCACATGCCTGGGCTGTGAATCTGGTCCCTGGTTGGGTATGTGTGATAGGTAACCAGATAATGTTTCTCTTAACACACATCCATGTTTCTCTCCCTTTCTTCTTCTCTTTCCCTGTGTCTGAAAATAAATAAATAAAATCATTTAAAAAATTCTGACTCTTATTTTTAGTACATGGTTTGTGTGTGTGTGTGTGTGGTGTGAAATTGGCCTGTAATTGCATAAAGCTGTCATTTTAAAAGACAAACAGCACAAAGCTTAAAAAATTACCTGAAATTTTATCTTAATTGATATATTATGCTTATATTTATTATTCCCATTTAGGTTTTTTCCCAAGCAGTTCTCAAGGGTGTGATGCATTTCTTCGCCACAAGATGACACTGATATCTCCCTCAGTGTTGAAGAAATATGGTATTCCCTTTGATAAGGTATATTAGTATTACTCTTTAACAGATCAATCTATGTGTGTAGTATTTGTATTTAAGACACATTTAACAAAGTAATATAGCTGTGACTTCACAGTGGAATTTTTAGGATGTGGGGAGAAAAATTCAGATTCATGTTTTATAACAATTATTTATCTAAATAGTAATTTGAAATTATTTTTATTTCAGAATACATTTACTAGAGATTTCATGCTGTCATGGTTTAGTTATAACTACTGATAATAAAATGTAGCACATTTGACAAAATAGAATGTAGCGCTTCTAAAATGAAGTCTTCTGTATGTGCAACTTAATTTATGTCTATTTTCTAAAAAAGAATTCAGAGCAGTTATTATGAGCAGTTTCATTGGTTAGAATCAATGATTATGGTACCATTATATTGCTTCTAAACACACTTAGACATAATACAACTGAGATTTCATTATGGATAAAATTGCCTGATGACTTAATAATCAGATATTGCTTTGGGGTATTTCTAAAGATTAAGTTCTGTTAGACTCTTCACATGCTAAAGCCCTCTTTTTTATGTCCATGGGTAGTTACTGGGTCAGAATTATTACAGAACATGAGCATTTTTATGTGAAGGAGCTGAAATGAAAAAAGCTTTTGCCTAGGTAAATAAAAGCTCTCTCTCAGTTGGAGGAGGATTAAGCCCTTAGCTACTTCTGGAAACATTAAAAAATAGCTCCACTCTCATCTCCATTTTTTTTTGTTTGACTTTCTTCCCATAATCCTTGTTGTTTTCTGCCTTAGAATCTTTTCGCTGTGACTAAATCTTTACCTCTTCTTAATCTGAGGCCCTTAAAGTCCCCTCTGCCTCCCTGCCCCCGCCCCCCACCACCTTACTATGGCTTTGTTTGAAGTAGAATTTTTTCAAGGACCGAGAATCCTTCTCCAACTTAAAGTGATCCCCCCACCCACTCACAAACTGTGTATGTGGCAGTCATTATGACACGTACTTGTCTTATGTGATGAGGTTGCTCTCAGCACTGGTTTACTGACATACTTTTACCCATGACAAAAATACATGACTCTGAGTGTGCACTGTGGGAAATGTCCATGGGAAGTGTGCACTGTGCGTGTGGAGAGGAGCTGGTGATAGGTGACAGCACTGTTGCAAGCATAGAGGTGACAGGCTGTGCCCCCCAAAGGGGCCTCTGTCACTTTGGGACTTTGTCTGTCTTGCAGACACCTCAGGGCACTGGGCTTTTCTGTCATCAGTGAGTGTTTCTTTCAGGTGGTTGGCATAAGTTTGATTGGGCACTTTTATTAAAGTTGCAATATTAGAAAGTAGAGGAGGAGTGGACTAGAGTCCCACAAGAAAGAAAAAACCTCCATGGGGTTAGGACTGGTGATAGGTATTGATCGAGTTGCTCTTTGGAGAGGGGCTTATATGAAGTAGCAGGACTGAGGGATTGGCTTGTTCTCCCAGGATGGAGGTCTTTAGGGCCTGTAGGTACTTTCCAATCTTTAGGGGAAGGAGGTAGGTGCTTTGCATCCCTTTCTTGTCTGTGGATCCCCAAGTCATCTTTTGAGGATGGGACATTTTCTGATTTCCGTGGAAGTGGCAGGAGATTGTTTATCTTCAGATGATGAGACACTAGTGACACGAAGGCCAATTGACAATTAAAGTATTTCTATAAAATGCTGCGACTTCCCCTTTTACCTTTGTGAATGGTGTATGACACTGTGCTCCTTGAAGAACTTATTCTCTGATGTTAATGTAACATGGGATAGAGTAGCACAGGCTTTGGAATTAAACTTCCAAGTTCATTCCTGATTCTGTCACTTGGATAAATTAAGTTTTTCAGAGCCTCATTTTCTTCATCTGGAAAAAGGGATGATAATAGTACCTACTTATTAGGGCTATTATGAGGATGAAAAGATATCATCTGTTTCAGCAATTTTCAACCATTTTCATCTTATCACACACATAAACTAAAATTTTGCGACACACAAAAAATAATTTTTTTGCTGATGAGACAACAAAAGTAAGTATAATTTTGATCCATTCACACTGGATGACTATTATTGTGTTGACTGTTGTCATTTATTTAATTTGACAATCTGAGGGAAAAGAGGTCAGTGCCCCTGACTAAATAGTCGGGTATTGCATGTTTTAAAAATTCCTGTGGTGCATTGGTTGAAAATCACTGGTCTATATGAAGGGCTTTCCATAGTATATGTTATATAGTAACTATTCTCTCTCCCCCATTCAGCCCCTCTTCTTAGGCAATCATTTCACAGTTGGAGTAACAGTTTTTTCTTTCTTCTTTCAATGTATTTGTACATATTCATACATATATATGAAAATATGTATTTAACAAATAGTTAATGTTTACTTTTAGATTGTATGTATTACTCTTTCCAACTTCTTCCATGACATGGAATTGCAATGATTGTTTAGTCTTATAATAAAAGGGACTCATTCTTTTCTTCACAGTACTTTTTTTTTTAAACAAATTTATCACACAGAGGCAGTAAATTGGCTTTATATTTTAGCTAACTGCGACTGACATTTTTCTAGAAATTTTACAGAGGCATAAAATTTAGAGTCCCATTAAATGAGGGCAGGTGTTCTTCTTCATCATGGCAAGAGCAGGGTTTTCTAGGTAGAGTAGAGGAGGATTGTATGTGGGATTCATTGGAGCAGTGACAGTAGTTTCCTTTTTCCAATGACAGCAGTCCTTTCCCTTCCCCTACCTTTATAGAGCTAGAAACTGTTGAGCAGGGTGAGTTTTCTTTATCAGATAGTACAAGAATGTTCCTAGTTTTCAAAGCACAATTATAATTAATGAGATTCAGCGAGGAAAGGAGAGACTCAGGCTGTGTCCTCACAGGGTTCAGAATGGTGGAATTGGAACTATGTTGAACACTGATAAGCCATTCTCTGCCTGCCTGGTGGCAGCTGAGTTGCAACTCATTGCAGTAGGACACCTGCTGGGGTATCATGGGGAGAGGGGACAACGAACTAAATTTCAAACTTGTTGGGAAAGAAAATACAGCCACACACAACATTTTAGCATTCCCAAACTTGCAAGTGAATTGCTGTGTGTATACCTATATTCATACAGTGTGTCTCCTGTATGTTTACACACATCTATATACCCATATGCTCATTTCTCAACATTTTAGGAATGAAATGAACCATGGTGACTGAATGAACCAGTGAGTAATAAACTTGATAATCTAGCATAGAGTAACCAGTTTTTAAAGAGCACTGAAAAATTTAACTTTACTATTTTTTCCATTGATTATGGTGTATTTTGTGTGCTTTGATGATTATAAAAATACAAATCTTTTAAATTTTGAAAATAAAAATAAATACATTCTTATCCTTGCTTTGTAGCTCCTGGTTGATTTACCTATTATTTAAATTATATTAAAAAATCCCTTCACTCACACACACATACACACATATATATTTATTTGTCTAGTTTTTTGATAGAAATTTTACTATTAGATAAAATAGAGTTAATTGATAGTTTTCTAAGTATTGTGGAAGAATAATTTTGTGAACACCGCCAACTCTTTAGCAATAGGAATTCATAATAAAACCTGTTCAGCATGTATTATCAAAATTGTTGCAGTTCTAACTTGGAAAAAGTCAGTTATGACATGTCCTATTATATAATTCTAGCAATGCAAAACTTAAAAATACTCAAATGTATACACGATTAATAATATGAACAGATTTATTAGAATAACATAAAGATATTTTTATATGAAGTATGATATCTTTGACTATAGATTGAATAATTGAATTATATTGCCCTGGTCAAAACCTGTTTAGAAAAGTCTTAAAAGTTTCTTGAACAACTAATAAAGGATTAAATGAAGGATCTGGGGGGTACTTCTTTTATACTGGTGTATCCCAATGTCATGGCATTATTTATTTATTTATTTTATAGGAAATATATTTTAATTGTATTCATAATTTGAGAAGTCTTAAAATTGGAAAATACTGTCTGTTTTCTACTCTGCAGATCACTCAGGAAGCTGGAGAATTTATGATCACTTTCCCATATGGGTACCATGCTGGTTTTAATCATGGTTTCAACTGTGCAGAATCTACAAATTTTGCTACTATCAGATGGATTGACTATGGGAAGGTTGCTAAATTGGTAAGTTATGCCTCAAAAATAAAGCATAAATTAAATGTATATTCTGGTTAGTATAGAGGGAAAGCTAAGATCATATGCAGCACTTATTTTTTTCCTCATTGTGTACCTCACCATGGTAATTTATTTCAGACTAGATTTTACATAGGTTATATTACCATTTGTAGCTACATTTGTGTATTTTGAAATTAATGTGGAATAATTTAACTTGAAAGGTAATTTTATGCAGCTGATACTTGTTTTCTCTCTTGAGGCCACTGGCTGTTTTTTGTAAGATCTTTCTGGTAGCTCCCTGTGTGTGGCTCCTTGACTGAACTATCTCCATGTAAGAGTTTCAGTCCATGGCTTAGCAAACAACTGTTTACAAAAGAAAGTGTCAGTAAAATCATAACAAGAAATTGAGGTAGACTGGTAAGAAAGGATTAAAACTGCCCTCAGTGCAGAAATGAATTCTTTTTAACAATTTTTAAAAATTGATTTTGGGGAGAGAGACAGACAGAACAGACAGACATCAATTTTTGTTGTTCTGTTGTAGTCATTGGCTGTCTCTTGTATGTGCCCTAACCAAGGATCCAACCCATAACCTTGGTGTATTGGGATGATGCTGTAACCAACTGAGCTATCTGGCCAGGGCCGGAAATTAATTCTTAAAAGTAATTATGTAAAACAAGAAATATATCTTGATGTTAACTTTAGAATAAAATTTTGCTACTTCTGCCCATTATGTTTAATTTAGTTCCACAGGCTGTGTATTTTCATTCACAAACAACTTCTGTTAATTAATTTTCCCCTGTGGCATTAAATAGAAGACACCTTCAAAGTGATGGTGGTTTCTGTTAGGTTGCTTTCCTTTGGTACAGACAGGGAGAGAGCAGATTCTTAACGAAACTGTGTTTTACAGAGTATATAAAATTGACATAGATTTAGAGGAAAATGATATATACAGCCTTCATGGACTTATCTTGGCTACTGCATGGTACAAGCTAGTATTATACATTCTACATTGATAAAGCTTGCATGCAGAACCATTGGGTGTATTTGAATACAAATATTTAGGAAAGACAACTCTAGGTTTAATTTATATGTGTATTTAGAAAATTGCATAATATATTTTAAAAACTATAGCCCTCTAGCAGCTCAATAAGCATTTGAATGAATTTGTGACATATAAGAAAGCCCTGCTATTAGAAGACTTTTTTTGTTCTGAGTAATTTTTATTTGAAGGGTAATTTAGAAAGGAAGAGAACTGAATTATTTCTTCCCATTTCACATCCTTCCTATTACAATAAACATAATTAAAAAAGAAAGAAAACTCAGTGTGTATGTACCTTAGCCAGCTATTGCAGTGTTTTTGCAGAAATGTAATGCTAGTATCTGTATTGAAACAGTGTCATAACCTCGAAGTTATAACAAGGTATGCTATTTTGTAGTTTGCTTCTTTAATCATTGACATAGTAAGTTAGCTATCACAGCTGTTAGAGTCACTAGAAAAATGAATTGGTGTTTGTTTACTACATATTTCAGATCTAATTCAAGGTATTGACCAAAATAGCTTCTCCCCAAGGCTAAAGTGTGTTCACATTTCCATGTCATGTGGAGTGGAGTGTGACCATGGCAGAGGGGTCTATGGTGATCCTTTCTGAAACCTTACTCTTGGAAGGAACTTAGAATTGTGGCATTGTTAAGAACTAGTGTACTGCGGTGGACGAGGCAAGGATTTGAGGCCAAACTTTTCTTCTTTTACCTAGCCATGTAACAATAGGAAAGTCATTTGTTCTTTTCATTTCTTCCTATACAAAGTAGGAATACCTTTCTACCCCATAGATTTGTTTTGAGGGGGAAAAAACTTAGATATGTTCATATGCACTCCTGCTGTGTTGATTTATGGCATTCAATTTAATCAAGGGATATGACTGACTTTATTCTGGGTATTGTACTAGGTACAAAATGTACAGTGGTTATATATAATGCATTTTGGCCAATTTAAAATTGTTGTAACTACCTATGTTTTTAGGTGTTGTCTCCACCCTTCCCTTACTTTTGGTGAGGTGGTGCTACCCTGAGAATGTATTCTTTTTCTATTGCTGCTATAGCAAATTATCATAAAATTAGTGATTTAAAAACAATACCCGTTTACTACCTCATAGTTTTATAGGTTATAGGTCTGACTTTGGTCTCACCAAGCAAAAATGAAGGTACTTGTGGGCTGTATTCCTCACTGGAGACTGGTGAAGAATCCATTTCCTCACTCAGTCAGGTTGTTGGCTGAATTCAGGTCTTTGCACTTGTAGGATTGAGTTTCCTTTTCCTTTTTGACCTTTCAGCTAGGTCTATGCTTCTAGGGGCCTCTCTCAGGTTCTTGCACATGATTCCCTACACTTCAGAGAAAGCAATTTGCAAAATCCCTTTTGTCATGTAAAATACAGTATTTGTAGATTGTTGTAGATTACAGGGATTCAACATGGATATCTAGGCATTCCACATGCCTAGAGTTCTGCATAGAGAGTTCTGATGAATAACTGACCTGGTGGTATATACTAAGAATCTACTTGGAGTCATGCAGCTGATTTATTTATTAAAGATTTTATTTATTTTTAGAGAGGGAAGGGAGGGAGTAAGAGAGAGAGAAACATCAATGTGTGGTTGCTGGGGGCTGTGGCGTGCAACCCAGGCATGTGCCCTGACTGCGAATCGAACCTGCGACGCTTTGGTTTGCAGCTCACGCTCAATTCACTGAGCTATGCCAGCTAGGGCTTAATTTATTTATTTTGCTTAAAAATAGGAAACTAAATTTGTAATGGATACAATTCAGAATTTTTCATTAAAACAGCCTTATACTTTTTAATAATTTCCTCAATATTAATGTTTTTCTTGGCTATTCTCAGTTAATAAGTTGTTACACTACATATCACAGTGTGCTATGTTTTTTTTTTTTTTGCAAATTTTAGTTTCTTTTGCCACTTATTTGATATATTTTTATTGATTTCATGTCTGTTTCTTTAGGCAACCTTACGAATTATGGTGTGCGTGCCACATGCACCTTGGAAAATTAGTGAGTTGGGCAATTAGCTTTTGTGTTTGCTTGGGGACAAATGTATGGTAGATCAATAGTCAGTTGCACTTAAAGGACTTTTAGCTTTCAGGATTACCAAGTTTGTTACTTTGTGTTAATTCTTTGCTTTTTTCTGTGTATTCTAAATGATACTTATGAACAAAAAAACAACAAACTCAGTTGTTTGTCACAAGCAATGATGAGTTATGCGTTTGGGAGGGATAATTTAAAAAATAATGGCATACTTTTTCATAGTTTAAGCACTGGGGGGTGATATCTGCTTTACCTATTGTATTTTTAAAAAGATTTTACTTATTTATTTTTAGATAGTGGGGAAGGGAGGAGAAAGACAGAGTGAGAAACATCAATCAATTGCTCTTGTACATACCCCATCCAGGGGCCGAACTTGCAACCTTCTGTTTCTCAGATTGATGCCCAACCAGCTGAGTCACATCAGCCAGGGCTACCTGTCACATACTTGATTTGAGTATATGAAAGCATCTGATAAAGTATCTGTTTGTAGTGCAGCATTAATCAGCTAATGTGGGATCTCCACTAATTATATTTCATATATTACAAACTAGTATTTCTTATTTTCATGACTTAGAAAAGAGTTGCTACAGAAGGCTATTCTTTAATTAGAAAATGGCACTAGGGTTTGAAAAGGTAATCCTCAGGGATTCACTGATATATTATCTTTGTTCGACTGCTAGTGGACTTTGGTTAATATGACCTTGTCAGCCCATTCACGTGGCTGCCATTGAACAGAGCTCCATTTATTCAGAGTGCTTGTCTGCTGTATGCCAGGTGCCGTGCATGTTCTATGAATACATCAATGGAAGGATAACCTTGTTTGATGAGAGCAAAGAAGTGAGAGTCTAGTTGGCTCTGGCAAGGAGTCAAGGACTGCTTCCTTGGTCATTGGCTGCTTGCCTTCTGGTGGTATCTCTTGAGTAGGATGGGAGAGGGGATTTCTGTGGATTTCTTTTTGAATGTATTACTGACCTTTTGGTATGTGGTATATATGTTTAAGAAATTACTAACGTTGACTGGAACTCCCATTCCATTATTTGTGCTAAGTCCAAGTAGCTATCTTCCAAATTTCAGCAAATTTCTAGATGCTTTATATTCTTAACAACTATAATTATGTGAATATTTTACTGCCTTTCAGTATATTCTGTTTTTTTTTAGCACTTAGTTCCAATAATCCCTCCCTCTTTTTAATCATGTCTATTCAAACTGTCTCATCACACGAAGGCTTTTTTTTTGGGGCTTAGATTATGGAGAAGATCTTCAGAAAATGGACAAAGGTGTGCATGAGGGGCATTGACCTCATAACCTTGATGCCACCTTAATTTGACTCTCCCTGTTCCTAAAAATCTCCACTAATGCCCCATATCCTTACTATTCCTCATGTTCCTCTCTTTCTTCCTCTCATCAATGAGGATTATTTATCCCTCTTTTGCCTTGACTTGCAAAATATAGCATAACAAATCCTGTGTGATACTACAGAACAGTAGGCCTTGTCTTCAGAGGACACCTGACAAGGCATTTATATAATTTTTCCCATTTCATTAACCAGAGGTAAGATTTTCACTAAAAAAATTTGAGGAGAATGTTCCACGTAGCCACATGCTCATTTGACTACTGACTTAGGCAATGTTTGGCTTTGGTGAGTGCTCAGCCGTTTTCTCCTCTGCAACAAGACTTGTGCTGTGTGTGTGCACAAAGGGGAAAGATGTATTATTTGTCTTCAAGGAGATTTTGTAAAGAGCAGAGGGCTTGTAATAAATCCCTGTTTGTAAAGTTGTGGTATGAATGGGATGTACTATCAAGTTATTATCTTAGGTATTGTAGTAACTTTGAACATCAGAGCAATCTAGAGTAAAATGCTATATTCATTTTTTGTAGTAGAGGTTTAAAATATGTAACATAGATTAACAGTTGAAAT